TGTCATGAAGAATAATTTTTCAGCGAAACGGTATTTTAAGAAATCTTTAATTGTCTACTAAATTAATATTTTAAATAAAACTTAATTAAAATTTACTAAGCTGAACCATTCATACGATTAATTGATAAATATATATATATATATGTATTTAACTAAATTGTAGGAATATTTTTACATGTAACAACAAATTAGTTAAGATTTAGAAATATAGAGTAATATGAACAAAAACTATAAGGAAAAACTTTTTTCAACGAAACGTACATTATTTCTTTTACATAGAATTATCCAAGTTCATCATCATCATCATCTCTTCAGCTATTACTAACTATCTCAATTAAAGGGCAAGGTATGTATCACTGTTAAAGCTTGCATTCAAAAACCTTCTAAATATAATTTAAGTTCGAATAACTGAATTTAACGGCATTTTGTTTGCTCATATCATTTTTTAATGTCAACATATGAGTTTTCTATTTTATCATTAAATTCATGTATCACAAATTAAAAAATCAAAGAGTTTTATACAAGAAAGTTTTCAGTAAAACCAATGGTCTTTAATTTTTTGGAAGAGTTCGGTAACTGAATCATTTAACTTCTGTAACTTTTTCATGTAAACTAGTTATAAGTATACATATATTTAAAGTAAACTTTTATTCACTAATAAATTAATGCATTATAAGAAATAACAGAGCTATTTTTATGAAATCTTTGAATTTTCTAAAAATTATCTGTAAGTTTGATCCTGAACATTGTATGTAAAATAATATACATAATTATATATTTTCATATGGGGAAGATAGGATCCGATTCAACCCTTTTTTAATATAAAATTATTATAGTAAATTATTTTTATGTTTTTCTTTTAAGAATTATTTTAATACTCCAAACATAATACTATATAAAAAATTTTTTTTATTTTAATTCTGACTTACGTGAAAAACATGTTTTTCAAAATTGAATGATTTAATATTTTACAACGAAAACTTTGCTAATATTTGGCTTAACATTTGGAATAATTTAGTTTATCATAATAACTAAAGCACTAACAGAGAATTTACAAAAAAATTGTTTAATTCTTTAGAAAAACTAATTTTTACCATAATGCTAATTATGGCTACATTACATAACGCTTAATAAACCTATAATAAGATAAAACTTATACTATAATTGTATGAAATCCAACTTAAAATACAAAAATTAATTTTGCAGGATTCGTCTGACATGGTTTTACACACTTTATACGTTATAATAAAACACACGTATGATTAATTTTATTAATAAAAAATGACAATAATCCTTCATAGAAAAGTACAACATAACATAATACAGAGAATAGAAAAATGGTTCTTAAATGACTTAAAAAATATATGGCACATGAACCAAATAAATAATTTAAGCTAAAATTTAAAAGCTCGATACTCCTAAGTCCTTTTAGTATAATAATCATAAATACTTGATCACAAAAACTCCAAACGTTTGTGTTGATGTTATTTGGTCAAATTAATTAAAATTGTGCACATTAGAATTATTCTGAGTAGAAACCAATGACTATTAGATTATATTTAAGAATTTATTAAAATATAAACATAACTTATAAAACAATATTTATTTTTTTACTATGTTTTTCAATATTATTTAAAATTAAAAGAATCAAATATAATAATTTATCTAATTATATCAAATACAACAATTAATTTTCAACTATTGAGTCATACTGTATTTTATATTTGAAACAATCTAAGTATTTTATGGTGTTTGATTTTTAAATATTTATTATAATTCATAAAAAAAATTATATAGAGAATGATGAGACAAGTCATATCCTTAAACTTTAATTGAATATTTAAAGGAAGTATTCCTTAAAAAAAATTGAAAATTAGTTACTTCTTGATATATTAACAACAATTAGTAAAAAATTCATTAATTAATATTAATATTATTATGCAAACTTATGAAAGATCTTTCAAATACATTAAATTTTGTACCTTTTCAAGAAAATATTGAAACAAATTAAATTTTCTTATAAAATATTTTCCTTACAATTATTTGCTTATTAAAATTATTTTAGATTATCGATGTAAAATATACTCCTATGAACATTTTCTTGAAAGCTTTAATAATAAAAAAAATAAATGTCTATTTTCGTCTCAATAGATGCATAAATTTAAAGACTATGATGAAGAGATAAATAGAGAAACCGACACATTAAATATTTTGCAATAACTACGGAACCCCAAAAAAGTAACAGAGCACTTTTCACTTTAAGGTTTTATTTCAAAAAATAAACGAATAACTATACACTTCATTAGATACGTTGTTCATTAAATGAATATCTATTTTCGAACTTTTAATCTAGTAACTATTAAAAAAATTAATTTTAATTTGTGTCAATTATTTTTTTTATTTTGATATTAAATAGGAACGCTGTTTATAATTAACATTCATTTTTAACAAACTTAACCGACATAAAGCACTTTACAGATAAATTTAATTGTTATTTAGTAACATCCTTTAACTTTTACTGTAGAAGTTAATTTAGAGACGACATGTCCTTACCCTCCAACTGGGACCAGGTGCGCGGATTCTGCTGATGAAGGTGGTCCGCCTGGATCGCCGTTGTTGATAGCTGGCGGTTGTGCCGTAGCCAGCAAGCACAACAGGGTAGCCGCTAGTACACAGCATACGGCACTTGGGAATCGCCTCACCATTTTGGGTGAAGCCACCACCTTAGAGGCAGCGTAGGATCACCTACGATCTAACATAACAATATTTTCGATCTTAAAACGAACAAAACTTTTGTTTAACCAATCGAATCGCAACAAAAATTACACACTACAAATTTGTCAGTTGTCAAAATTGTTTATAAAAAAAAGTTCGAAGCCAAACAACTTTTATCGGCACTTCCTTGTCAATACAGAAAAAAGCGCACTAATCCGGACTGTATTGTTCTCAAATTTTAAAAATCTAACCGTGTCTGAAAGCGGCTGCACTACTACTACAGTCTCATGTGCGTCGCCCATGACATAACAGTTGTGATAATAATGATGATGATACGATGCCGCAGAGTATATTAGAATCCCACACGGTATACCCAACGACCTCCGCTGTAGTCGTACAAGTATTTCTTCTCATCAACGTGTGTGTTTATTTAAATAACATACATCCATTTATAACGATATGCATAATATACACTATACGGGCCATTGCACACAACATATTTTTAGATCCGTCAACGCGGTCATTTCAATTTAAGGCGTTCCACTCTGTCGCATGTGTTATCTTAAGTAATCAAGTTTTTTTGGACGCATTGACTCTAATTAATTATTTGATCGCTTAATACTTCAATTCGACCGAAGCTGCAACTATCACCATTTACAAACATAACACTGCCAATATAACAAGTAAACGTTATGGTCACTTTTTTGTGGTACTGTGAATTAGTAGTTTATTTACTAGTTTTCTAAATTATATTATTGGCAGCAACGAACATGATTTAGATATTTAAATGATAACAACATATGTAGAATTAATAGTTTCCAATCATCAAGAGCTAAAAAATAAAAAATGTAACACGTGGAAAGTTTTAAATATCTTACACTGTTAGAGAACATTGAATACAAATTCTAAATTAAGCTTAATAACATCTTATTTTACAATTAACACTATAATTTGTAGTTCTCAATGAAAAAGATTATCAAAATATTTAAAAATACGCATTTATTCAGGTATAAGTTTATTTTGATCAATTCTAATAATTTGGTAATGATGTTTTATTTAAATAAAAATTCCCTGCGGATATATTATAATAATAGGTCTAAAAGATTTACAAAATAATAGTATGTAAGTTTGGAGTATCATTAATAGAAGTCTTTTTTTAAATCAATAAATTCAAAATATACAAGTATAGATATGTATTAATTTATTGAAATACAATTTCTAAATTTCATTAACTTAAAATTGTAATGATTTTTAGAACAGATTTTTTAAAATAAGTTAAAAAAGTCAAAATTATTATCCTATCTAATTTTTCTATTTATTTTTATATTCATAAAAAACCCATGTATGTTTTTACAAACATATTTTTAGGTTCATTGAAAATCTAATTTTGAAATAATATAGAACCATGTAGTCTTTTACATGCTTGTGAGATTTAATATTTTTTTCCAATTACGTCTTACATTATTTCGAAGAATTTATAAATTTCATATACTAATAAATATGTTTTATAAAAAACATTTTTTTCGACTAAATAAAACGAAGATCTCTTAAGGAAACAGTATTTTGCTATACAAAAGAATTATATAGAAACATCAAATGAATAAATAATCATACTATAAACATGAAATCTTTCATAAATATTTTCTAAGAAAAATTACTGCAAAATATTAACGTTTATTAAAAACTCAATCTACCTTTAGAATTGATATCAAAATTATAGAAAATGTCTTAAATTAAAATTATTATGCTGGTGTTAAAGCAATATGTATAGCCATTTTTTTAATCTTGAATTATGTTGAGATTACTTTTTGAATGGCAGTGTCAAATTATTTGTATAAGTTAAAAATTCATACCGTTTAAAACATTTCATAAACTTTATTAACTTTACTTTTTAACTTATTTCAATCTAGTTCGGAAAATATTGAACAATGTCAATATTAATGATATATTTTAAAAATATATTTACCATTTATTATAAATACAGTCTATTATTTATCTATGAGATTTATTAGTAATTAGATTTATCACATTCTAAGTATGTATTATTATATTAATATTTAATATAATATCATTGGTAAACTTTTTTTTTAATAAAAATTTAATCAAAAAGTTAATATCACCATCAAATATAAAAACAAGTATTTTATTCAAAAAAATATGTTAATAAAAATATAAATTTTTATTCTACAATGAATATTCTAATATAGAATTTAAAACAAAGGTACTATTTTAAAGTATTTAAAAGATTAAAGAAGTTCAAATAATTACAAATCTATTATGTTTACACTTATTATAATATTGTACAAAAAATCTTGCAAACTTTAATAAGGATAAGAAGCAAAGAGAAAACCTTTACACTGTAATTTTGCTAAAACATCACCACATCATAATTCTTAAAAACTGATGTCATACCAACCCTAAATTTTAAAATAATAAAAGTGATGTGCGATACAATGGTTTTACACTATGAAAACAATTATATGTAAAACTTTTTTGCGGTTTTGTATTAATTTAATTTTGGCTAAATTTATTTATACATAACCATTTTGCTCAAAACTTCGATTTTGAGATGAAATATTTTATACTTGACTGAGTAAAAAAGTATTTTACTAATATATTTATGAGTAAAATATTATACATGTAATACATTATAATACATGTATGTTTATCATTTTGAAACATTTTTAAATTGTGTTCTCATCGTTATATCCTGGTGTTCTTCTCTTGGGATTACCGATCACTGTCTAAAAAATTAATACTTCTTTCACAAAAAACGAACAGTATATATTTTAACTATGTCAACTGGTTAAAAAATGCTTTGTAGCAATACGGTATCTGCTGTTCTGTTACACAAAGTTTAACACATTTCTATGTTATGTAAATTAAGGTACCTGGTTAATCAATATTTATTATGAATTTCATAATTTCGTTTATTAAAATATTACTTCTTCTTTGTCCTAGTCTTCATCCTAATTGCTTGTGGTTGAACATCCTGAACATTCACTTGAAACGATCTCCCACACGTCAACAGTCCTCATACTGCATTCAATAACATCCCTTCATCTCTTATTTGATCTTCCTCTATTAATATGATTGATTAAAATTTCCTTCTTAAAAAATAAAACTTATACTTAATGTTTTGTGGTATCCTATTATAATTTAATGTACGTGATAACAAAGCAGACGTATCAGATACTTAAGTTTGAATTAATTTTAAAACAAGAAAAGAAAAATATATAAATTACTGGACAAGTTTAAAATACAATCAACACAATTTTTTTAAAAGATTAATTTAATCTCTTGTTTAAGAAAAATAAAAAGATGATTCATAAATCATTTACGGAAGTTTTTTTCATAAAACTAATTATTCTTACAAACTTATTAAAGTTCTAGTTTTAACAATTTCTCGCTTGTTTACACATCATTTATACCATTTTCTTATATATACAAAAAAGTACAATTTTATTTCGATCTAAAAATTATTTTAAGCTGATTTATTTTGTTTTTAACTTAAACAATTTAAAATATTTATTTTATTCAACTTTAGTATTATTTTTTGAATAATAAGTTTCTTAACAAGATTTTTTCTTAAAGCACTCATAATTTCGTATTAGAAAGACAATTCTATTTTTAAATCATCACACGTCCTTTTTTATTCTAAGATATTGCTAAGACATTTAAAAGTGTCAGTAATAACTGACACTATCCAAAAGTAAACAATTATGATTTTTGTAATCTAATAATTAAGTAGGTTTCTCATACCCTTACAATAGGCGTTTTAGACCATTGGACTTAATGCATCTGGTCCATAACGATGGCAATTTAAAAATATGCGTTAAGTAATATAAAATGATTTTCACTTAATAAGATACTTTGTCCTTGGCGTACCATGACAATCTAATGTTCCCTGCGAAAATATCAATTACAAATCATTAGGTATAAATTGAAATTAGATCTAATGTGTAAGTATAGTGCGATACACCACTAGGTTAGCGGTCGTCAAAATGTATGCGACCTCTTTTGGTTATCGGTGTCAATAACCATGTTATCGAGACAGGAACTTGCGGTTTTGATTAATAATACAATATCCTATTACTGTCTGTTATAATATTAATGGCTAGAAAACATAGTTTATCAAAAATAACATTTCTTAATTTATTATCGTCTTAACTAATTTAAATTTAAGGTGATCAATTTTGAGCACTTTGAATACTCACAAATTTTAAAAAAGAAGTTTAATTTAATAGTATAAATAAACAGTAGTGTTTTAATAACCCTTCTGAAAGCACTAACTATGATGATTTTTTTTTTTAATTAATTGGTCTTCCCTTTCTTTTAAATTACTTCGTAATTTTCACCTTTCCGTCGTTTGTTAACAATTAGGTAGGATGAAGAGTTGATTGTGACCTTCAACGAACTTATGATGATAATCTTAAAATCAAAAATGAAAAACATAATATATCATATAAACCATAACAACAAATATTAGATTAGAACATTTTTTTTGATCGACCGTATAAAAATATTTGTAAATTTTCTCTTTAATATTGAGATTTGTCCCTAAATATAATTTGGAAGATCATTGTCTCTCAATATTATTATATCTCTCATTATTAATATTATCTTGTCGCAGAAAGTGATAATGTTTTTAGTCACCATAAACTTCAATAATAAAATAAAATAAACATTTAATTAAGTTTTTTAACTTTTAAATGACAAAAAAATATTAATATGTATCGATTTTTTATAACTATATTTTCCAGTAAGTAAATCTTAAAAGAAAATTTAAACATTTTTAAATTAGAACCATAATATATGTATTTAGCGGACATTATTTAAAAGGAATATTACAGTTTTTGATATTATAAAATTCAAAATTATAGATTGGTATTGTGTAAAATCAACTGGATTACATAACTAAGAAATTTATTGCAAATTGTATAAACAAAGAAAAATAACGCAATAAATATAGTAAAACTATTTTAGAAATTAACATTTTAATGGTTTAAATATAATATATGAATTCTACAAAACAATACAGGGTGATTTTTTTATCATAACCCACTCAATTACTTACAGAATAATAATAATTAAAAATTTTTTTTTTATTATTATCTTTAGTTACACATTATTCTTGAATTAATAACTATGTAATACTTTTTAAGTTCATCCCTTATGCCTGGTAAGGGTGTCAACTTTGTTTTTTTAAATGGTAACACATATTTTGAATTTAATAAAATGTTTGAGGTTTCAATTCAATAGTAAATGACATTTGAATTTTTAATATAACTTTATTCGTTTATTAGATATAAACATTTAAAGTTTCAATTTTTTGAGTTAATATAATAAAAAAACTATTTTAAGATTGCCAATTTTATCATTATATTTAGTTTACGATTATTATGTATCCATAATTCTTATTAGTTATTTTAATAATTAAAGCAGACTATTAGTAGTTAACCCGTTAATATGATTGAATTTTTTATTTAGTGTAATTCCTTTTTTTTTTTTTTTTGGTAACAGTTACATTTTTGAGATTATTAATTTTTTGTCGATATTTCTTTAGTTATGACCACATAATTCTACTGAGTGAGAAATTAACTTAACTACTATTCCTCTTTTTGGTAATATTAAAATATATTTTTTTGTATAATTCTAGAATATAATGTCGATGAAATAAAGAAAAATCTTTGAAAAAGTGGTGGTGATATATTCGATATTGTATACAATTTTATAAATCATTGTTGAATTCTTAATACTCTTAAAGCATGCTAATAATTGTTTGGTTTCTATTTAAGATTGCGCTTATAGTAAATTCAATTTTTTTCTGATTTATTGGTCATTGATATAAAGAGACATATTATAATTTTTAACGAATATTAATATTAATTTACTAGTAATTGTTTAACTCAATATACATCAAGGAATATGAACATACTTGCATTTTTATTTTAAACATTATGTTCGTAACAAATACAAAATATGTATACAAAAGTATGTAGGTAGTTTAAATTGAACATTTTTATGTCATTATTAATAGAATCTAAACAAAAATAAATGTATAATTCTATATCTTATTTTTTTTACATGACAAAATAATTTTTTTGAGTACTTTTTTACTCCTGAATTTAACAACACAAAAACCCATAAGTATATGTATATTAAATAAGTATATTTTGATTTCATACATTAAAAAAATTAATAAAATGTAAATTATTAAGATCATAAAATTAAAAAAAATTCATATTTGCAACTTTTTATTTTTTTTATATGTTTAAATAATTTTTATATATTCAAAAATTAAATCTATTTTTAATCAAAATTTCAAAGTTTAAAAATATATAACTTGTTAAGTATTAAATGTTTTTTCGAGTCAACTTGTAATTATTTTTACATTGATTTTGTTTAGCCTTACAATTAACCACAAAATATGTGAATGACTTTAACACTCTAAACCAGTACACGAAAAGTTTTAAATAAAGGCTCCCTTACTTGTCTTATATGAAAAATAATACTTTCAACTTCATCGATTAATAATAAAACCAACAAAAGTTAACTAATGACATAATGTATAGAATACTGACAAACACAGATCATATGCCTGTTAATATATTATATATAACATTATTACACGACAGACACCGTATTCTAAAACTATTTTCACACATTAAAAGGTCTCTATAATTCAAAAAATACGTTTAATGTTTAATTTAATTCGAAACAAAATATCAAACATAAGATAGTTCACGATTTCACAAAATCAGATTATTTTTGTGTATAGTATATTAACTATCTTATATTTAAGATATTAATATTTTATAATGATATATTATTATATCTCTAATATTATATTAACTATAAAGTTTCAGAATAATTAACAAGTATGAATTAAAGTACTTAATGCAAGCTTAAGATTTTACAAATAAAGCAGTATATTAATATTTGTCTGTTCATTTTTTTCGCTTTTAACTTAATAATTAATTTAGATGAATAAATTTAGTGTGTCAAATCCCAAAGTTAGTGACCGACAAAATGTAACAATCTCTTTTAATTATCAGTTTTAAAAACCATGTTATCGAGACAGGAACTAGAGTTTTGATTAATAATGCAATTTCCAATTTAAAGCACCTATTCAATAAATTTAAATACATATACATTCCTAAATTATTGTAATTTTATTTGAAAATAAATACTTAATCTAATGAGTGATACTAATATTTTTACCTATAAAATATACTGTTTAAGCACTATTTCGAGTGAACCAATTCAAGTAAATTATGTTTACATATATAAATGACACGATAAATTATAGGAAATAGAAAAATGAGAACTAAGGTGGTAAAAATAGGAAAGTAAACAATATTTAAAAAATAATTGACGTTGAATAAATTAAACATCAAACCTATAGGTTTATTTTTAAACCTTAATACATAAATAATCATTTTTTTTTTTAATTTTGTAATTAATAATATTTCATATTAAATACCATTGTAATCTAATTAATTTATTTCTATATTAATATAACATTTATAATAATTATAAAAATGACTATAAAAATAATTATCATAAAATCAAATAAACTTAACACTTGAATTGAATTTGGAAATGTATTAGTAGAATTTAAAAATTATTATACTATTTCCAATAAAGTATGTAAAACAATGGAACTAAGCAAAAAGTAATAATTACTACGCTGAGGTCTTACATAAAAAAAAACCTAGCACGGGGGGTCGCGGCACAGTGGTGATGTGGCATAGTTGGATCAAGTATTATGATATCTGACAGTGATTAAAATCACTATCAAAAAAAACGCTTCGATTCAAATCTTTAGATAGTGTTTAATTTAAAAAAATTGGTGTATTATTCCAAAAGCTACATGATTTGCTATTTTCTTATTAATATCCTGAATGAAAAAGGGATTATTAAAAAATATTATTTCTCATAAAAAAATTGTGTTGATCCATACACTTTTCAATAAGTTATAGCATTATAAAGTTAAAAATGTAAAAAATAAAATCAAGAATTTTCACACGAAAATAGCATTCGGTAGCCATTTTCACCACGAAGACAAGTCCAGAGATCAATTTTTTTTTTTTCATAATAAAGTATATTACATTATCTTTAATTTAAGATATATATAAAAATGTTTTGAACACCCCTGTATTAAGGGAAATGGTCCGATTTAAAAAAAAAGTATGTCGAATTAAAGAAGTATATAAATATTATTTCTCATAAAAAAATTGTATTGATCCATACATTTTTAAAAAAGTTATAACATTTTAAAGTTAAAAATGTAAAATTTAAAATCGAAAATTTTAACAGAAAAAAAGCATACGGTAGCCATTTTCACGTGAAGATAAAATAAAGTTCCACATTTTTTTTCCATAATAAATTATATTACATTACCTTTAATTTTAGATATATATAAAAGACCTTCCGGAACACTTTCAAAAATTAAGCTGAAAAAGTTAATTTTTCGTGAAAAAGTTGTCATTTTTAATCCCCCCTGTGGGCTGGTAAAGGGTTAAATTTATAAAAAAAATATACCAAATGATAGGTAAAGACATCAAGCATCTATAAAAAAAAAAATTATATTGATTTGTTTATTTTTGAATAGTTATGGCAGTTTTAAGAAAAAAAAGTGAGAAAAATGACAAAATTTACCGATTTTTAAATTTGTAATTTTTTTGGATATTTTCCCCATTTGCGGGGAACGAGGAAAAATTTTTCAATTTTTGAGGATAATGTCTTCAATTAGATACGATTTGTGATCTTTTGACTTATCGTTGAAAGAAATCGGTACGGTGAGAGCTGAGAAAAAGTGGTAACAGACAAAAAAAAAAAAAACATATCATAGTAAAATGAATACCTTCTCAGCTTCTCATCGAAGCTAAACTCATTATTACACATCAATTTTCAATGTTATCAGATAAAACACAATCTTATTAAATATTATTTTACATAAAAGTTAGTAAAATAAAAAAGAAATACAATACTAAAGTAAGTCTGCAAAGACACATCTCACAGAGTAACCATTACCCAACAGGTTGTTACAATTACTTAATACAAAGTGATTCATTCAACACTAACCGCTCAATTTCTCTTAAAATGATAATATTTTTTTGATTTTGTTATTTTTATATGTATTTCCATTTATCTGTTATAAAAATTTTTTTTTGTTCATCCTTTATGTCTTATACACAGTAGAAGTATCAACTTATTTTTCTTAATTGACAAGTTACATAGTTAACTAGCTTATAAAATAGAAATTGATTGTAATTAAAAACATGACTGAAATAACAAATTTTGGACTATTATTTCAAAAGTTATTAACAATTTAAAGTATTGGCTGGAGGCAAAGTGTGGGTGTCACTATTCTTATATTAAATATTTTTCGGCCTCGCTCTATTTTCCGCTTAGGTACAAAAAGTTAATAACTCCAATTCAAATAAAAACACAAAATTCTATCAATCATTTGACTAACAAGACAATATATAAATATACTTTTACTTATATTTTCATCTAACAATTTCAATCAAGAACTTAACAAGTGAATGATTCGATTAAGTGAATGTGTTACAAAAGTTACACATTCTTTAAATATTTGTTGGATTTAACTTATAAATTAAAAAAAACGCTGAATAAACATTAATTTATAAATAAGAACAATTTTCAAATAAATACGTTATCAATAGATTTTCGGAACATACTTATAATGTGTTTCCAAAGTTGCTTTCATCTGTAAATATCTATAAATATTTACAGATAAATACAGTTCGTATTTTTAAGTACAAACTCACAGCTAGAAAAATTAGTAAGGATAGAAGTTAAAAATTACTACAAATCATAACAATTACTACCTTACATCTCAAATTTTATAAGAACCTGTACATCAAAACAAAAAATATTGTTATACACAATGAAAATATATCCAATTTATTAGATTTAGCTTAATCAGATTAATATGCTGGTTGGTGGTGTTAATATATCTGGTAAAAATTTAATCGCTAACTGCGTGATTCATAATACGTGGGTCGACGATGTCTTTATAACTGAAAGATAAAATGTTTATGAACTTGGCGGAGTCGACAGATTTAATAAACCGTAAATTAACTATATAGTGATATAGCGCCTAGTGTTTATAAGATTAAACAGCTTAATTATATTTTTTTAGTTGGAAAAATTTTTAATTCAACACATTTGTTTACGGTCATTGCACTCCTTTATTTCATCAACATGATTATGTTAAAAAATAGGATAATATATGTAATCATTTTATACGAATAATGATCTATAATATTTTATTTTTTGCATTTTCATTATTTGATTTAATATTATTTGAGGCGCTTAAGATACAAGGGTATAAATGACATTTTTTAAAAATCGATTTCAAAGTTTTTTGTTTACCATCTAAATAATTTTTTTTTTTCTAAATTTTTATAATTAGATAGAACTATTTATTTTTTGTCTAATTTTGTAGCTAAATTTTTTTATTGCAACTTTTAGTTCTTGTGCTCAAGCGTCTCATGTATCTAGCTTACAAACAATATTTTTTAAACACGTATCATTATTATTTTTACTAAAGATAAAATATATATATATATCAAATAATTATAGACTTTTAAATCATGAACTTCTAATCAATATTGACATACAGCTGTAGAAAAGTTACATGCTCTATTGATACATAAACACATAAAATAATGTTCAAAAGAAATTAATTATAATAAATATAATAATGTAAGAAATTTATTGGATCATGACAACGTTCCGAAAGTGAGCTACACATAAAATATAATTTAATACTTCAAAAGTAACTTAAAACTTGTGAAGAATCATTTCACACCTAGAAAACGTTATTCTTTTGATAAATATACATACACTTATTATAATAAGTGTTTATATTTTATTGCGATATGTAATTACGCATAATAATAAAACACAAGCATATTCAATACTATAAATTTTGGCGTTATATTTATCAAACTATTAAAATTAATATCCCACGCTGTCCAAATTCACAAATAAGAACAATTTCTAAATTAATCAATTTATGTATAAATTAATAATTTCTATTCATCGAAAACGAGGAAATAAATGCATAATTACTTTAAAATATATTATTAAATCTTTTTTATGATTTTTTTATTTGTTAAGATCAATTTTGCGATTTGTTGACTTTAATTTGAAAATTAGACATACTGTGGACATAGATATTTGTAGAAAATTAATGAAATTCATAAATACAATCAATTTGTATTTTACGTATTTGTACCTAGTAAGTAAACTGCTATACCAATGACCAATGAAAATGTTAAGTTTGGTACTACTAAGGAATTATAATTGCAAAGCTTTTAAAGCCACCAGTAAGCGTAACACGGACAAAAGGGTTATTTATATAAAACTAGTTCAACATACCTGTAAAATTATTTTCAATAAATATTATTTTCTAACTATAATTAAAACATTCCTTTTGGGTGTCATTTATCCAAAAAAAATTTTTAGACCATTTCCTTGCATTCATTATCAATAAAAGATGCACTATTTGTAACACATAAAAAGCTTATACTATTTTTATTTTTTATTTAACTGTTCTAAGAACATTTTTGGAAGCTTTATTAATTTATAACTTTTTAATGAAAATATTTCTGCGTTGGTCGCCAGTTCAACGTTTAGTAGTTTACTGCCTTCAGAATATTTAAGTCCGTAGGAGAGTTAACAAGAATTGATATTATATAATCCGTTTGGTAATCCGTTTTTAAAAGTTTTCTCCTTCTCTCTTACTTAATTTCTTCACATTACAGCACTTTATATATACATATTTCTCATTAGTGATTTTAGACAAGAAAACTCTTTACGTAGCTTTGGTCCACAAGTTTAGTGATCATCTTGCCACCCGCCACGTTAGTCAATTACTAAAAAGATAGCGGCGGTAGTAAATTTAACTTTTTGGAAAATATCTTACAAATTAATATTTTGATTTAAAACTATTTTAATCCCCAGGTTTTAACATAAAAAATGTTTTAATTAAAATACCACTGAAACAAATTTTAGATATAATATTAAACACAACTATTACATTTACTGATATATCTATTTGCAGAAGAGTAGGTAAATTCATCACGCTGTGTACAAATTAATCTTCATCCGGTTTCTAAGCTAGCCATAAAATTAATACCTTTATTTCTAAATCTATTTTCAAGGTTAAATCTGCAATGAAAAATAACTTTAATTATCATTTTTAAATTACCAAACAATGTCTTTTTAAATGCATACTAATAAAACTTCGCAGAAGTAATCAAAAGCCATTGAAATTATTTTATAAACTCTGAGGAAAAACGAGTAGATTTTTAAAGTTTTATTTTTCTTAAAAAATCGGAAATATTATTTAATTTATTCGATAAAAAAATTTCATGATTTTCCGCAAGAATATTTTATCTTTGATTTTAAAAATACATTTTGAAAATTAACCTAAAATTATAATATTTTTCAAAAGCAAAAAAAAAGCCAATATCGATAATTAAATCGATTTTTAAAACAAAAATTCAACAATATTCCCAACGTTTTTCTTAAGAGGCGGTTTTTGGTACGTCACTACAACTATCTACAATAGCGACACTATCATGACAATAGTATTGCAGTTTTAGATAGTTACGACAGTTTAGTTATACGAAAATCGAATAACTAGCTTTGTGGGACTATTTGAGCAAACATCTTTCATATATGAATTAAACTGTGTATTGTGATGTTATAATCTCTAGCAGACAATTGTTTCCAAATGCAATATATATTGTTTGCTTCTGAACAGTAAAAAATTATAGATTTAATACTTTGTTGGACTTAGTAATAATAGAATTTCTTGTATTTTGAATAAAAGAACGATGTATATAACAATTATTCTTTTGAAATTTTATAGCATTGTTATCTGTATATAAAAAATATAAATGCGTATCTTAATAAAGATTGAAGAAGAATATTAATGTAATTCATGAAGTAATCTACTAAAATGATCTGATACAACTGATAATTTTTTTAATATAATGACACTAGTCGCTTAATGATAGCACAGGTTGATGTTTAAAAATTGTTAATTATTATGTAGTAATAAATTTCAACAATTAAACAAAAATTATTTAACAAGAAATAAGTATAAATTAATGATATTTTTTAGAATAATTCCAATTTATTTTAATTTTTTTGTTTTTTAATGTCAAACACTGTATAACTGTATTTTGTGGTTTTTTTGAGTTAAATATTTTTGATTTTTTAGTTTTCAATTAATAATATTTTTAATATAGTTTTAATTTTAAACTGTATATATCCATTAACATAACTATTTTAATAGATAGATACAACTAATATCAAATACTTAAAAATTAAGTTGATTTTTTCATTTAAGTAGTTGTTATCCAAGTTTGTCCAACATTAAGTAAGTCAGTGACTTTATGCGCTCCATGCGAAAATATTTGCCACTTACTCTAGTCGGCGCTTTTATTTCCAACCACTCTTATATAAAGTTTTAAACGTCGTCTTTGATGTCTCAGAATGCGCTGTGGATGCCACTAGAACAGCCATCACATTACTTAAATTATTTCCGCATAGTTAACATTCTATAATCTAAAAAAAATTTATAAATAAGTATTTTCGCCATGTTTTACCTACATTTTGTTACCAGCGTTGTGTTTTTCATTACTGTTGGTGCCGCTATTATATCCGGTAAGAGCTTCAAATCTTATACATATAAATGTGTAAGACGAGATCAAAAGTAACTGCAATTTATTTATAAATATTTGATAAAAATCAAATACTTTATATATATTAGCTACTTTTGATCTAGTCAACATGATAACATACATATGCATAATTATTTATACATAATATTTGATATGAGTTGGTAAGGCTGTGGGTACTAATATTTAATAAACTCAATTGGTATTTTTATTAAAAAATCAAATATTACAGTAAACATATAAATTTACAAACAACTTTCTCAACTAAATATATAATACTAAAAGCAAAACACTTGTAATGTTGATCGTTATGATCGGCATTACACATTAACTATTATTTTTTATCATCTTTAAAAAATCGGTTTACTTGCAAAATCTTACATATTTTTAAATTTATATTTATCTAAAAATTAAAAATTGTATATTACACTTATAATAATAATAATAAAAAAATTGTTTGTCTAATTGAAAAACTACCGAGAAATGTAAAACTAAATATCAGTTATTAAATTTAAATTTCTTTTTACAGTATTTATATGAGTACATAAATTATTTTTAGAAAAAGGTGGAATCCAACAGTGCTTAATTAAATCTCTCAAAAAAAAAATCAATCATAATAACTAGTAGAAATACTTCTTTATATACCAATTAGTAAAAGCTAACCAGTACTATTTATTAATTTAAGAATTATTAATTATTTAAAAAAAAAATAAAATTTGTCATTGTGTCCCAGACGTGGGGCGAGATGTTTTTTCAATGAGACAAGTTTAAATAATTAAGACAATTCTAAAAAATTGTAATATTTCCCCTTAAGAAATTTACTTAATTTATTTTTACATTTTTTATTGATCTACCAAGTCTAATTCGCAAAATAATATATTTTTTTAATCCTAGAAGATTATCTAATACCGATCTCACCTATACAGAGTAATTCGTTTATCATAAACTCCTCAATTAATCGCAAAATAATTATAATAATAAAATAAGGTAGTGGTTTTTTTAGTTATACAAGGTAATTTTTTTATCATAACCCACTCAAATACTCACAGAATAAATAAAATATAAAATTTTTTTTTTTTTGATTATCTTTAGTTACACATTATTCTTGAATTATTAACTATGTAATACTTTTTAAGTTCATCCCTTATGCCTTGTAAAGATATCAACTTCGTTTTTTTAATTGAGAACACATATTTTGAATTTAATAAAATATTTGAGTTTTTAATTTAATAGTAAATGGCATTTGAATTTTTAATATAACTTAATTCGTTTATTAGATATAAACATTTAAAGTTTCAAATTTTTGAGTTAATATACTTGTACAATACACAAGGGATTACAAATACAGGTAGCTAATTGGTTTTTTATGACATTGCTGTCATAGTCACGGATTGTTTATTATCAATTATGAATATCAATAGATAAACTTTTTATATTATCAGTTAGTGTATTTATAAACTCACAACAATGTGCCTTACTACCATTGATAATAACAATTCTGTGTACCTGCGATATTGATGTCATAAAAAACCAATTAGCTACTTGTATTTGTAATCCCTTGTGTATTGTACAAGTATATTAACTCAAAAATTTGAAACTTTAAATGTTTATATCTAATAAACGAATTAAGTTATATTAAAAATTCAAATGCCATTTCTATTAAATTAAAAACTTTAACATTTTATTAATAATTTAATAATTCAAGAATAATGTGTAACTAAATATAACCAAAAAAAAATTTTTATATTTTATTTATTCTGTAAGTAATTGAGGGGGATATGATAAAAAAATCATCTTGTAAAAAGAGTGTATCAAACCTAACTAATAACGTTTATAACTTTTGATTCGACTATTATTTAGTTGAAATAATTTTTTTTTAAATAATTATTGCCTTCTTAGACTACGTTTATAACATATTTTTATAGCTATCACTAATAAGAAAAATTACAAAATTTATAATTATTTTTATAATTTCCAAATTATTTTTAGCTTTTTTTATGCAAACAATTTTGATGAATAACTTTAGAACAAGTTATTTAGAAATAATATTAGGAAATGAAAAGTATATGAGTTACAATTAAAGTCGATCAATTACATAATTATATATTTTATATTATAATTTTAATATTGTGTTAATTTATAATAAAATAAGACACTTAAATATTATCAAATATTCATTAATCTTTTTGAATAATAATTTAAAATAAAACAAGTTATTGAAATTGATTGTCAAAAAAATATTATATTGTACTGAAGAATAAATACAAAATAAAATAAAGGTATTATTTCTTTTTTACATTTATTTTTATTATAAAAACAATATAAGATATCAACAAAACAGTTTAACAAAATTGGTTGTACTAGAATAAAAAATCATCCTAATACCTTCTCAGGACAACGTTGTAACTAAAAGTATTACTCGTTTGTATGTTTTTTAAGAATATCCAATTTTGGACAACAAAAAAATGTTATGTTTTATATTACGTATAAATTCCTATTTGATTGCTCCAACAATGTACCTAAAAAAATGTTAAGTGTTTTACTTAAAAAATATCTTACTACTACGAAGAAACAAATAAAATAACACAAAGATTTATTAAAGAAAATCAGTTATAGAAAAATCTGTTTCACTTAAATCTTTAACTCCATTTTAGGTACATATTATAATAGTTAAGTAAAATACTATTATAAAAATTTGATACTTGTATTCCAATTTGGTGTGATTATTTAGAAATTTCAATTAAACTATTGTTTAGTTTATGCATATACCATGAGAAAATTAAAATAATATCATAATTCTTTAATCAACAACTCATTAAATTATTCAATTAGAATGCAAGACTTTTAACGTAATTCTTAGTTAAAAATAATCATCAAATAACACCAATTTATAGGCTGTACAAACTTCAATTGCTTGTGCATTATTTATATCGGTCAATACCCATTGAACGTTTCATAAAATATTCTATCTAATATAATTATTGGTTGCTTATCAATTTAAAAATTTATTATTAGCTTCGACGTTATCAAGTACAACGAATAAAATCATTTGATAAATTTCAGACGAAGGTGCTGATGGCCTCGCAGCAGCCCCTTGGGATGATAATCGAATGGACGAGAGAATCTATGCAGATTCTCCACACTACCTGACATACCAACTAAACAGCAAACGATATTCAGTTCCATATCATCCTGTAGCCAGGTTAAGGACCAGTCAAACAGCTGGAGTAGTATTGCCGTATGCTATGATCACTAATCGAGAATATTTGAATGATGAAGGAAACAGAAGTAATTATAATCCATTGAATCTATTAGCTATTCATATTTCTACTAAAATATTTACTATACACTATTATAGTGTTAGTTTTACCAAAGAGTTACATTAATACATGGTTACATATCAATAATGTAATATTTGGAACACAAATACAAGTTACTCCTACGGACTTTACAATTATCACTGTTTACAAGCTGCTTACTTCCTGCTTCCGTTTAATTGTCATTATACTAATTGTAATTTTTTATGTTTATATGAAACTACAGGCTTTATTTTAAATGTATATTTAAAACTAAAACTATATTAATGATATAAATTTAAAACTAAAAAATTTATTTAACTCTAATAGCCACAAAAACTACTAAAATATCGTGAATGCGTATTTCGGGAACAAAGTTACCATTATCAAAACTAAACACATACGTTATCATTTCAATGTACAATTAAAAAATAATAAAAATATTTAACTAACCGAGAAAATAATTATAAAATGTATTATGAAAAAAATGTCACATATAACTTGACATTTTGCTTATACATAATTTCAATAAATTCAATTACCTTGATAATCATTTTGAAACTATNAACAGCAAACGATATTCAGTTCCATATCATCCTGTAGCCAGGTTAAGGACCAGTCAAACAGCTGGAGTAGTATTGCCGTATGCTATGATCACTAATCGAGAATATTTGAATGATGAAGGAAACAGAAGTAATTATAATCCATTGAATCTATTAGCTATTCATATTTCTACTAAAATATTTACTATACACTATTATAGTGTTAGTTTTACCAAAGAGTTACATTAATACATGGTTACATATCAATAATGTAATATTTGGAACACAAATACAAGTTACTCCTACGGACTTTACAATTATCACTGTTTACAAGCTGCTTACTTCCTGCTTCCGTTTAATTGTCATTATACTAATTGTAATTTTTTTATGTTTATATGAAACTACAGGCTTTATTTTAAATGTATATTTAAAACTAAAACTATATTAATGATATAAATTTAAAACTAAAAAATTTATTTAATTCTAAAAGCCACAAAAACTACTAAAATATCGCGAATGCGTATTTCGGGAACTAAGTTACCATTATCAAAACTAAACACATACGTTATCATTTCAATGTACAATTAAAAAATAATAAAAATATTTAACAAACCGAGAAAATAACTATAAAATGTATTATGAAAAAAATGTCACATATAACTTGACATTTTGCTTATACATAATTTCAATAAATTCAATTACCTTGATAATCATTTTGAAACTATCAGTTCTAAAAATCAGAAATGCTGCATTTATTAGGTCATGTTTCTCATTGAAATTGTATTTAGTACATAAAACATACAAGTTAATTGAATGTGTATAATGTTCTTTGGTGATTTAAACAGTACGTTACATTCAACAAGTATTATTTTCTAAGACTAAAGACGTAGATTTAACAAAATTAATTATTCCCGAAACCACTCAATGATAACAATTATACTGTAGAAAACTAAAAACAAATGTTAAAAAGTACAAATAAAAGTCATTTTAAATAATATTATATAAAATGTCAAAAATATAATTTCAATATCCTCAAATTCTCAGTATTTATAAAAAAAAAAAAAAAAAGACTACAATTTTTATACATAATATGTATATATATGTGTGTGTATGTAGAATAAAATTTTATATATTTCTATGAACTAATATAAATATTAAGTAAATCGTAAAAAAAATTTGTATGGTAATTTTTAGGGTTAACTTTTGATAATTAAAAGATACCTGAATAGTAATAATGAATAATAAAATTATATTTTTTACTCTGATGAACATTTTTAGCAGACTATTTATTCATAATTAATAACAAATTATTATCTAAAAAGTTTTGTGTCAAGCTCTTCAATTTTTATACACGTTTGCCATAAAAGTAATAACTACTTTATAATTTTTTATAAATTCTTAATTATTTTTCCTTTATAATCTTAAAACAATTACAATTGTATAAGCTTTTCACTATTAGTTCGTCACCAAATGATATTCCAGTATAATTCTAAAATGCTCTGATAAAAAAAAGCAATACTATACGTCTCAAATTTAGTTTCTAAATAACGAAGATATGAAACAATGATCGCATAAACATCTCTTAATGATACAATTTTTTTTCAATCTAAACAAACATTATTTAATATGTATCGGAAGATATTAGCACAAATTTTGATGACAGTTTTTTCATTATAACATAAATTTTTGAAACTGTAATATATGTTTTATTTATATTATTAGAAACTGTTTGCCCTCCATCCAATTTTCTACAATTTCTATTACTTTATCGTTATATGGTTATAATAATTATGTTTCTCCAAAATTTCTATCTTTTAATGTTTGGTGTAAGTAACTACATTTTAGAGAAACCCAATTACTTTCTGTTTTATTTTCTAATAAGATATCATTTTTTGCTTGTCGATCATTTATTAATTTTATAATATTTTATATTTCTGTTGTCTCATTGTTATGTTGGAATTATTGTTTTATACTGTTTATTTTCTATACACCCTGTATCAATATGTCATCGTAAGGATCGTCCAGTCAAATAATTCGTCGTTTTAATAAATTTTTTATGATTTTCATCAGTTTTATTTCGAAACCTTGAACTGTACATTATATACATATGTGCATGCCAGAATGGTTCTTCATATATTGTTTTATCTATTTTGAAAAGAGAAGCTATCATATGTGCAGTTATTGATTCGTCCAAATCATTATCATTTAAATTTTTATATAACATCAAATAATTTGAAATGGCGTACATATTACCACATATCAAGTCACAATATATTAGATCAATAGGATTTTTTATGGTTTCCTCCATTGGTAATTTTTTAATATTAAGTAATTTCTTTATAGTAGCAATGTCAAGTTTATTTGATTCTTCATGGTCAGGATAAATAAATCCAGTATCCAGAGAAAGAGCTATTTGAAATTTTGAATCAAACCTAGGAACATTTTTAATACAACCTATTACAATACAATTAAAAATGGTGGTTCTCATTTAAGAAAGTTAATATTAAGGTTTTTTTAAGGAACGAAAAATAATAATTGAACTACATATTATTGTATAGTTTTTTGAATAAAACAATATTTTCATTTAAAAAGATTTAAACTGTTCAATAGTTCAAAATAAATGTCTTAACCTTAATGAATCACTCTGTATATCAATATTTTTATTGCTTTTAATGCATAGTATTATTATAGCTCAACAAGTATATTTTATTTAGTATGAAAAAAATAATAAGTTCAAGTTTAATTATTTTTAATAGAATTTTATGATGCGACAATATTGTTTTATACAAGGATTTGCATCATTATTTAGGGTGATTGATTTATCATTGAACACTTAGTTATTTTAAATAATTTTTCATTGAGGCAAAAACAAATATAAAATTTCAATAACATCTTAAAATAATTTATCTTGTTAAATAAAAAAAAATAACATTTTATATTTCTTTTTGTTTAAATATATTAAAAAAACTCAAAACCTCTTTTTTGTAATATATCAACTTTTGGAAATAAGATACAGAATTATTAATTTATAATTAAAGTAAAGTGTTTCGTTTAACTTCCTATAATTATAATAACACATTAACTGTCGAAATTATACTGAAAACTGATAAGTTAGAGTTAAATTATATATTTTTTTTAAGTGTAATATCAAAATTATAACTATCTGTGATCATATTTATATTTCCTGACTTATTAAGCTGTAAGGCATAATAGAAGCGAAAAATTTGTTGATTTCACCATTATCTTTTTATACGATGAAATATTGATGGCAGATATTTGAATCGTAGAAGCGTTATTCATTTATTTACTAGGTGTCTCTGTTTAAAATAAATATTTCTACTTAACTTTTTTTTTATAATTTATTCTATGAAATAGATGATTTGAAATTTTTTTATTAATTTAAGAAATTTCACCTTAAGTGGTGAAATGTTTAGTCATTAATAATCACACTTCCGAATTTACACTTGAATCTATTGTTAATGAAATATTTTTAATAAATATAATTATTTTTAGATTAGATAAATTTTTTTTATTTCTTTATATAATATATATATTTTTTTTTTTAATAGATATTTGTCACTGTTTTCATATGAGTAAATAGTGAGATCAAATATAATAATAGATTAAATTATCACCTGAGTACTTATATTTGTACTTATTTATCTATTTGAAATTAATGTCATTTAAAGATCAAGTGCAGTATACAACATTCATACCTAAAATTAAATGCAATGTATTTTATGAAATAAAAAAATAATAATATTACAATTTAATAACGAATAGTTTGAATATGAAACTAGATGATATTACAAAAAAAATTAAATTTTGTACAGGTAGACTATAAAAAAAAAAATCAAGTTTAATTATATGTTATGTAAAATAAAATATTATGTATAAAATAATGATATTTTTGAACATTCAGAAATCTTTAAGTTTAATTTATTCTGTATACAAAAAAATAGGTAATTTAGTTTATACTGTATAATAAACAATCTTCAATACTGGATATTGGTATAATATAATTTCAGGTAATCAGTAAAAAGTTTAAAATTGCAAAATTTAAGTCGATAAAGAATTAAATATAAAATATTTCACTTTTATATATTCAGATGATTGAACATAAAATTAATTTATATTGTTAACATAAAAATCGTTTATTAGATCATAGAAGAAGTTACAATTCTCTATAATCCTAAAACAATTACAATTGTATAAGTTTTTCACTATTAGTTCGTTTACCAAATGATATTCCAGTATAATTCTTAAATGCTCTCATAAAAGAAAAAGCAATACTATATGTCGGAATTTTAATTTCTAAATAACGAAGATATGAAACAATGATCGCATAAACATTATTTAATGATACAATTTTTTTTCGTTCTAAATAATCTTTATTAAATAGGGTACNTAAAAGAAAAAGCAATACTATATGTCGGAATTTTAATTTCTAAATAACGAAGATATGAAACAATGATCGCATAAACATTATTTAATGATACAATTTTTTTTCGTTCTAAATAATCTTTATTAAATAGTGTATTGGAATTTATTAGCACAAAATTTGATGACAGTGTTTTCATTATGACATCAATTTTTGAAACTGTGATAATATGTGTTTCATTTATATTATTAGAAATTTTTTGCCCTTCATCCAATTTTTCTAAAATTTCTATTACATTATCATTATATGTTTGATTAAAAAGTTGCATAAAGAAATTACTTTCTAAAAGTAACTTTTTTATCGTATAATAACCTACATTAACATTCCGTATAAAACTAGAGTTTGATTTCCTATAATTCTCAGCATAATATAAATAGTTCCGTATTAAATGCAAAGTGACTATTCTTATATTATTAAAAATACTCTCTAGATATTTCCACATTTGCATGACCCAACGGTCATAATAATAATAATTATTGGCCAGTTCATAATTATTATTCATATCATCATATATTGCTTTATAAACATCTTCGTTTTGATCACCGAATGTAATAATTATGGTTCTCCAAAAATGTTTATCTTCTAATATTTGGTGTAAGTAAATATTTTTTAGAGAAACCCAATTATTTTCTGTTTTATTTTCTAATAAGATATCATTTTTTGCTTGTCGATCATTTATTAATTTTATGTTATTTAGCATTCGTGTTCCTTCATTGTACTTATTATTTACTCTACACCACATATGAATATGGCGTTGTATTTCTTGTGTAGTCGAATTTTTCGCAAATTCTATAAATAGTTTATGATTTTCATCAGTTTCATTTTGGAACATTGAACTATACAATGTATACATGTAAGCATGCCAGAATGGCTTTTCATATATTGTTTTATTTATTTTAAAAAGAGAAGCTAGCATACGTCCAGTTATTGATTCAATTAAATCATTATCATTCAAATTTTTAAAAAACTCCAAATAATTTAAAATGACGTACATATTACCACATATCAAGTCACAGTATATTAGATCAATAGGATTTTTTATAGTTTCCTCCATTGGTAATTTTTTAATGTTAAGTAATTTCTTTATAGTAGCAATGTCAAGTATATTTGATTCTTCATGGTCGGGATAAATAAATCCAGTATCCAGAGTAAGAGCTATTTGAAATTTTGAATCAAACCTAGGAACATTCTTAATACAACATGTATTAACTTGCATTGGATGGAAATTTATTATTACTGTAATGATAAAAAAAATCGGATTTAAAATCATTTTTCACTGCTTAGGTTTGCACTTTTAAACAAAAGATGATTTATCAAAAATTAATACTTGATTTAACATATTGTGTATAGGTTTTTATATGTTTTTTTCATTAAAAATAGTATGTATATACTAATTATTTATATGGATCAAGCTGAATGAATATTTGTTAACATCTATTTTAATGGATCTTCAAGTAATATTGAAAAATATGCAGTACTTAACTGAATCAACAGTATTTAAATGAGTCTGAATATATACAGGTTGATTCATTAAAAGTAAAACACTCATTTTCACGGAAATTATAGAAAATTTTTAGTTTTTGAAAAGAAAATATTGTTTATTTCAAAAAAAATATTTTTTCATCCCTTCAGGGATAAAAAAACCTTAATACAAGTTTTCTTAAATCAGTATCGCTATTTTTAACTACCGACGTAAAACCGATAAGTTAGAGTTAAATAAACTAATTTAAAAATAAAAAATTGTCAGTTGTATTTTTTTAAGTGTAATGTTAAAATTATAATTATCAGTTTAAGCTGTAAGTCATTACAAAAATGAAAAAATTTTTGTTATCACCATTATCTTTTTATACAATAAAATAATTATGGTAGATATTTAAATCATAGAAGCGTTTTTTTTTTTTACTTAAGTGTCTCTGTTTAAATAAATATTTCTATAATATTTCTAATTTCAAATCTTAATTAATTTTTATTATTTAATAATAAAGAAAAACAGCTTAAAATGAATTCCAACAATATATCGGATGATAAATGAAAATGGTTACCTTTTTTGGTCTATAAAAAACACTCTAACAAATTCATATTTTTTTATGAAATGACGCAAGTCACTTTAAGTTATTTTTTGATATTTGTATAAAATATGAGTCATCTTACGCTTACCTAAGAATCCTAAAAATGAAATACAATGATAATAAAATGCCATACAAATTTATTGAAAAGTCTAAAAAAATTGTATATAAAACCTTATACTTATATATTCGGATAATTGAATAAAAATTTATTTATATTGTTAACATTAAAATCGTTTATTATATCGTAGAAGAAGTTGCAATTCTGAAAAAATTACAATACAAAATTATTTAATATCAATCTCATACTATATTTAATTGCTATAATAAATATTTATTCATATATTATACTTCTAAATCAAAAAACTACTATTCAGGAATAATAAAGGAAATAGGAATTAATTTTGCTTTTGGAATAGTCCATCAATTTCTTAAAATTAAACACTATCTACAAATTTGCATCGAAGCGTTTCTTATGATAATAATTTTAACGACTGTCAAATATCATCTATACTTGTTCCAACTATGCCACGTCCATACTGTGCTATAGTTGTTTTTTATATTAAACATGTATAGTTTTCGGGAAAAACATGTTCCAATATTTATCGAGCTCAAAATCCGTTTTATAAAAAAAATTAATGCATTTTGTCATGAAGGCATTATTTTTTAATAAATGAAAATGCAAATGTATTTGATTTCAAGTTTAATGAATGAAAATTCATTCGTTATTTAAATGATTCTCCAAACCCTGCGTAAAAAAATTAGTATAAATATTATTTAATTTCAATTTTATTTAAGAATTAGTTAATATTTTATTTAGGAAACTTTAACTAACGCTAATTCATATTATGAATGAATAATATAATGAACTTGAATTTGAACTATTTCACTTTTAAGAAGAACTTTACCATCACCGGATAGTTTTAGGAAGTATAATTTACCCAAAATATATCCTAAATCTATTGCAGACATATAAATTTCAATAATAACAAAGTCAGTATTTTCTTCATCTTTATTTAATGGCATTGTACTTTAATTCCATTTTTATCAATGAATAAATTTAATACTGTAGCTCTATAATTATAAATTATCTTCCTTTTAGTATTGTTGAAAACTTTACTAAAATTTAGTTACCAGATTTCAAGTTTGCCAAATTATATGCTGGAATATCATCTATAGGCAATGGAAGAAGCTTATCTGAATTATGACTACTAAATCTCCAGCTTTTATCTAACTCTGGGAGCTCTCATTTTGAACTCAAAAATCTTTAATTATTTCTTTTTTTCTTAGCTTTTTCAATTTTTTTACTATTTGACTTTTTTTTTCTTCTCTAGTATGTTTATTTTTTATTTAACTTTTGTTTTTTTTTTATCTAATATTTCTTTCACTTAGAATATTCAAACTATTTATTTGATGTTATAATACTGAGAGTGTTTCTTTTTTTTCTTTTAGTCTTAAGTTTTTTCTGAACAGGTCATTTTATGAAATTATAAAAAAACAGATTGCAGTGAAGGTGTTAAATAAAAGTTTTGAAAATCATTATTATTTGTTATTGATTCATTCTGTAGTCAAGATTAGAAATTATTAGTGACTGATTTGATGAAGGCAATGAAATGAATCTATACATATTATTACACTACTTCATAAAATATCGATTATTTGGTTATTCACTCGAAATTTTAATCAGCCATAATATACATTATTGTAGGTCCATAGTAATAAAAACAAAGAACCCGGACAAATTTTTTTAAATATGCATCTACAAAAACCGACTAATGTACAAATTTTGGTAAAATTATATTTTTTACCATTTAATATTTTTAACATGACCCTATAATTCTACATTGGAGGCTTTTACGAAAATTCGCTTAGGGCCAAGACCTATTTTCGTCCTTTTTCATTGCAACACTAATGTGACTCAACATAAAAAGACACCTGAAGAACATTCAAAAGTTATAAGAGAAGTAAATGTTATTATGCTTGTTACCAGCTAAACGTGATACAACGATAAACAAAGAATCCATTAGATATCAAGCAGAAAACGTACAATGATGACAAAATCTAATTTCACTAATATCCATCAAAAATATAACAACTATTTTTTTGAAAATCATGAACAGCTCTAAAAAGATATCCTGACTTATTATAGTCGTTCTATTACATTTGTTGTTAAGTTTATTTAAAATTTAAATCAATAATAAATAACTATAGTTAAAGATAAATATTAATAGTACTATTTATTTACAAAAAAATATCCTAGTTCCACTCTATTAGGTATCTTATTTTTTTTAATTATTACAAATTTAGTTAAATTCCTAGCTAACACTAACTACAAAATAAATCAATACATTATTATTACAAACAATATTTTGGGTACAAAAAATATATACTTGTTTATAATATGGAATATTATTATATATTTGGCTAATATCTTTGCAAACGAAATTTTGGACCACAATGATTTCAGATTTACGTTAATGAATTTTCACTGCATACTCATTGAATAGCACCTAATTACTTATAAATTAAAAATTGTTCATATAATTATGGTTGTTTTCATAACTGAGACTGCTGAACATTTATTTAGTTAACCTAAAAAATGTCATAATACCTTTAATTATTCAAATCTTCTATTATCCATTAATGTTACTTTTTATCAGGTGTTATTTGGGAAGTTTAAACTAATCTATTTTTCATACATAATATAGGGATCTAGACATCCCAGGCATCGATATTTTTACATTATTTAATGTGTAATGTAAGGTTATATGAAATTCAAATAAACGTTTTTCTAAGATCCTAAAGCATATTAGGATCTCCCTCAGAAAAACGTTAAAAATTCGTTACTAGGCAAGGATCAGTCTGTAAAAAAATACGCTGACATACGCCATTAATACTTTAATTAATACATGATATGTTACTGAATTATAATAACCACATACTATTATAATTGAATATATTATATCAACAATTATTTTTTATTACATTTTTATATGCTATTATTGAATACAACAATTTATATACGAATTCTTAGAGTTTGATCAATTTTACCACTATAAATATATTGAATCTGAATCAGTATATTATTCAGGTCAATTTTTACAAACGATGAGAACATTTTATATTAATAAAAGTTTTTACTGTTATGATCTAATCGATGAACGTAGATTAAAAATACGTAGACGACAAAACATTTGAAAAATAAAATTCATTAATTTATTACTTTTTAGTTTTGTAAATAATAGCAAAAATGAATAATGATTAAAAATCTCATTAAAACAAAATACAATTAAATATTGTTATTGATTTTTTTTAAAACTGCATGTTTCAGTTGAATCTATTTGGAAACCTAACGCGGCTGAGCTCTTAACAATGTTGATGAATCGTAGAAAAAATGCAGAATCGTTGGATAACACAAATTTTATGCGATTTGGAATCAGCAAAAGAACAAAAATTGATTAAAGAAAATTGTTTCTTCGACATTGCCCTTATCCTTCAAAATAATCAAAATATTCCATTAAGTAGTTTGTATTAATCTTTGTGAACTAAGATTCAAACTTACATCGTGTTACAACTGTATAATTCTTTTTATTTATTTTAATAAAGCAATTTGTTTTTAAGCATTTCACAAAATTTATAAGCACTTCAAAACCGCATCGAAAATATATGGTCTCAAAAGAAAATAGTTCATACTACTTTTAATAAAACTTGTGAAAAAAATTGATTAAAACAAGATTTACAACAACATGATTCACAGCCATGTACAAATTACCTAACTTACTTATTGTGCAACATTGTACAGATTGTAAATATTCATACCCATAATAAAAACTTATTAAAAAAAAAAAAAAATGCAGATTTTATATATTTTACTTTATTAATATTACTACTTGATTATAAGTAAATTGAATTTTTCAGTTTATTTTCAGTTTCTAAAATATGTTATTATAAATTTTATTCCTATAAAATAATTTAATCACTAATTAACCAAAACTTATATTATTGATATACTTTTTAACAAGTATAGTCAATTATTTGTTCATTAATAATAATTTCTAGAGCCTAATACACAATTTTACATAATTTTAAGGACTGGGATTGATTCTTATACAGTTTTTAACTCTCTTAGACATTTAAAACATTATATCAACCTTGTTAAACAATGACATAAACAAAAGTTCTTACATTTATTTTACTAAAATTCGAAGTCCAAAAATTTTATTTACAAAATTATTCATTTTTTTTTCTTCAAAAATTACTTTCTAACTTTGTTCTTAAAATATAAATTTCATGTTTATTGTCACATGATACATTATTAATATAGTCTTTTAATTTCAATAAACTTCTAAAAATGTACAAATTGTTATAAATAATTTCGAAAGCATAATTAATAATTGGTAGTTAATATTCACTTGTTTATCAATAAAATATTTTATGACAGAAAGATAATATTTTTGACAGCAAATTGAGTACTAAGTTTTAAATACTACAACATCAATTATCAAAAAGAGTGAATATTTTTTCAATTATAATCCAATAAATCATTAATATGTATAATAAATGGTTTATATTATGTACAAATTCTTAGGTATATAATTATAATATATTATCATTTTTGTAGTATAATAGTTTTGACCTATATAGTAGATGTAAACTTTATAAATATACATAAAACTCAATTAAATAAAATATAATATTAACTAAACAAAGACAAATACATAAAAAAAGGAACTTTTATTAACATATATGACGATTTAAGATTAAAAATATTTATTTATTCATACATTTTCTTCGAAAGATTTTAATGGTTTGATATCAAACAGATTTAGCACCGATAGTGTTAAAAAAGCATATTATTCTTATACAAACAAAAAAATTGGGTGTTGTAACTTTAACGAGTGTTTAATAATTGTAGTTTATAACTAACCAAGTCAGTTGTTTAAAACTAAAATACTAAATTTCTATAAAATAATATGAGTAATGTCACCTAATTCTAAATAATACAAAAATAAATATATAGGTATTTAGTGAACCAAGTAAAATTATTTTAAAAGTTAACTTTAAATGTTCAACAATATATTTTTTTTTTTTTTTTTTGTTATCACAGTTTCAAAAAGAATTTAAACATATCAATTGTTCATAATTATGTTCATGAATCCAGTAATTATAGACATATTTTATGTCTATATTGCAGTAAAAGAGAGATACACAATTAAATAAAATAAAAAATATACAATTAGGTAAGTATTAAAATAATAGTTGAGTTAGACTAAGTTTCTAAATTGAGTCCAGTACGCCTCCAGATAGTTTGCTTGCATACATATTGACCATCTGAAATTAAAAATTAAAATAATGTAAGCAGATGATGATAACATAATATAACTTTCAAATTAAATATAATAATAGAATATATATATATATAATACATATAGAATAACAGATCCTAAAATCAATAACATACATTTTTCACCAACAATAAACATCTATTAACCTGAAATTAAATTTTATAGGTAATATTAAATTAAAATTATATCAAATTTTTACAATAAAAACAATTCTATTTAAAATGTAACTAATTAATAACTTAAGTTTGAACATTTTCAGAAAAATTAAAAATAATAAATTAATTTTTTAAATTTGAAAAACAATTTCATTGAGATTAAAGGCCACTTTCTACACAATAACAATTTTATGTTACTATTATAATTTTTTAACTAAAATAAAATTGAGCATATTTGATTATGTTAGTTTGATTTCAGAAAACCACTAATTCTTAATTTACCTTATAAATAAAAGCATATTGATCTCTTGTCTGTACAGCACCAGCCCGACATCTTCGAATTTCATATACAGTTTTTGGTATGTCAACATTTCGAGATACTTCAAAATCACGGATAGCTATATCACAAGCAATTATGGTCCCAGTCCTTCCAGTACCTGGACTACAATGTACAACGTGAGGGCCCATGTTACCCTTCATATATAATCGAGTTTCCATCAGGAAAGTTATAATGGCACTACAATCGGATGGTACACCCTGAGCTGGCCATCCACCATACCATAAGTGTGTTATATCTCTCCATAGGTTGGACTCCAAGTTCTAAAAATTAATAAGATATAGTATACACAATATAAATACATAATAATGAGTATGAACAGGAACATATTTACAAGGGGAGGTTCTAGAGATCCAGTCCCCTATAGACATAAAATCATGGCAATAAGAATAGTGGAGAGATGAAGCTCCCTAGTACTCTTATTTCTAAATGGTGTCTACACTGTCCCCAAACAAACACTACTGATATACTACTGAGTAATAATATAAAATAATTAATTAAAAATTTTAAGTTTTCACTTACTTTAAGTTGTAAACTAGAAACAATAAATTTTTCTTTAACTTCTCGTTTCTTTAAAGTGACTTGGAAATCGCCAAATAAACGATGACAATCTAAAACTTCAGATGGTGGCAAATAATCTGCACACTTTTCCTAAAAAATTTATCATCATTGACTAATAATATGATTATAATTTTATTTATTTAATTTAAAGAATATTTTATTAAATATTAAAGATATTTTAAATAGTAAAAAACACTTAAAAGAAAAGTTATTACATTGTTTACAAAATAATTATGAGAGTAACATTAATAACTTAATATTATGTTTGTATAACAATTTAATAATTAAATAGACATTAATTTTGAAGTATAAAATCAATTCCATTAGTTTATTTAATTAATATTATTGATATTTGGAAGGTATGGACATTTTCTGTAATAAAATAATATCTATTTTTATATATATATTATGAAAATAAAATGCTAAAATAATTAAGTAATAATTTAATTAATTAACAATGCAATTATAAGAAAAGTTATTAATTAAACATATACAAATATAGATTCAATCCAATATTTAATAATTTAGACCAAAAAATAATTCTCAAAAATAAAACATATTTAAAACATTGTTATTATTTTATACAGTCAATAACATTTTTTAGAATTCATCTAATAGAACGGTAGCACAGTGTGGTCGCAGCACAGTATGGACATGGCATAGTTGGGACAAGTACAGATGATATCTGACAGTGATTAAAATCACTATCATAAAAAACTCTTCTATGCAAATTTGTAGATAGGGTTTAATTTAAAGAAATTAGTAGATTATTTCAAAAGCAACAATAATTCTTATTCCCTTAATTTTATCCCGATTAGTTATTTGATTTATAATTATAATATATAATAATAAAAATAATAATTAAATTTAGTATGAAATTGATATTCAATAATTTAATATTGTAATTTTGTACGAAAAAACTATTTAGTAGTTGTATATTTTTTTACTTTTAACGCATAAAAAAATTTAAAGGGCTTGATGCAATACTTTTCAATAAAAAAATGTTTGTTACTAATAACAGTTTTATACACTGGACTACAAAGAACTTTCAACAGAAACAAAAATATACTTTTCTAAGTAAACTTTTCGTGTTGATTCCAAATGTGCAATTAGACTTTTTCTATCACTTCTAATCTATTTTTTTAATCCTTTGAAGCTGATTTTTGTGAAAGTTTAAAGTAAAAAAGTAAAAAAAAATTAATTTACTACCATAACTTTTAGCTCAATTTGCAAGTTTGAAATTGACATCATTAAATAAAAAATTTTATAAGAATTAAAAAAATTGTATCCTTAAGATTAATATGCACTTCGCAAATTTTATAATTACTATTTACAGTATATTTATCATAAAGCTCATTATTTTTTTGCATATTTATCATAATAGAACACTTAAATAGAAATCATAGTAATCATTTCTAAGTAACTATTGGTATTAAAAAAGATTCTACAATTAAAATTTACAGAACTGAATTAATTTTAATGATTTACTTTAACTAAAAAAAAGTTTTCATTTTGAGCCCCCCTATGGTCAAGTAAAGGGTCAGATTTATAAAAAAAAATATACCAAATAATAGGTAAAGACATCATGCATCTATACAAAAAAAATTACATTGATATGATAATTTTTGATAAAGTTATAGCAGTTAATAAAGTTATAAGTTTTAAACACTGGACTTTGACAATTTTTGAGGGTATTATGTTTAACTAGATACGAATTGTAAATATATGATGTATCGTTGAAAAAAGTAGGTCAAGTTAGAGCAAAGAAAATAAATGATAGTCACAAAAAAATACCTTCTCAGCTTTGTATCGAAGCTAAAACCTAAAATATAATAAAATAATTTTAATATGAATAAGAAATTTCTTCTCACGAGGGACGGCTACAGTGATGGAATCCTTGATCTTTATTGAAGTTATTATTTCTAAATGAGATAAAAATCAAAGGAGTTTCAAATTTACTTAAAAAGAATTAAGAAAAAAATGCAAAAAATTCCTTTTCATACGCAGGTTGAAAACTTGTACCCCAAGTGCGTAAGACACAAGTGTTACTGACTCAGCAACTATACGTCGCTTTCTGTCGACTGAAAAAATGGAAATTTAAGCTAGTTCGAATTTCAAAGTTATTTTTCTCGACTTAAAAAAAGCAAAATAATTTAAATAAGTTTAACTTTCTATGCTATATTAATTTGATTGTGGGCTGGTAAAGGGTTAAATGTTAAACCTAAGGTATCTATAAAAAAAAAAAATTATATTGATTCAGTCATTTTTTAAAAAGTTATGACAGTTTTCAGTAAAAAAGGAGTTGAACAAACATCGAAAATTAGCAATTTTTAAATTTGTAATTTTTTGGGGGATATCCCCCGTTTACAGGGAACGAGGGAATTTTTTTTCAATTTTTAAGGATAATGTCTTCGACTAGGTACGATTTTTTGACGTATTGTTCATCAAAATCGATTCAGCGAGAGCTGAGATGGGGCGTTCACAGACACAAAAAAAAAAATTTTAAAAACTAACACATCATAGTAAAATTATTAACACCTTCTTCTCAGCTTCACATCAAAACTAAAATTTAAATATAAAAAATGAAACGAAAATACTCTCGATCTAATCTTATTATTTATTCAAAATATATAACTAAAAAGAAATAATAAAGTATAACAATACCTTCAACAAATAGTTACCATGGTAGCTACCAGTTAATAGTAACAAAAGATTAATTATTTAAAAATAATATCCTCATTTTATCTTTAAATGAGTAACGATAAGCAGCTGCTAATGGACTACACTTAATCATGTAAAAATAAGAATTCTGAATACCCTTTCAAAACATTAAATGTATTTAAATAATTACTATTGTATAATATATAAAAAAACATTCATTTTTTTTTTTAATATAAGAAAAATATTATGTTAAAACTAAGTTTTACACAAGATATTATGTTAGGCTATTTAATGAATCGCATTATAGTAAAATTATTAGATTGATAAAACAAGATAAACTAATCATAATTAATAAGATAACCATAAAATTAATTTTTTAAATAATTTACTTTATATTTAAGGTATAAAGCTTACCACTCCTTTTTCAGTCAAACTAGTTAACATTACTATGACTCTTGAATTCTGCTCCCAAATCATTTGCCAGAAGTCTGGTATAGTAGACTGCATTGGAGCTTGACAAGCTACATAAAATTTATCAGCTCCCTTGTGGCCCTTAAAACATTAAATTAAAAATAAAATATATAATATAAAATCAATTAATACTTATATTATAATTTTACTTTCACAAAATTAGCATTGATATAGTCTGAATTGGGTCCAGCACCGGCTTTTGGAGTAAGAGATACTCTGGTCTCAGGCAAGGGAATAACATTGGCGTAACGATTTTTAGTTTCACAGCCAGATGGAAGCTCATCTGGTTTAACAGTAATCACTGGAATGTTGGAGAACTCCTCATCAATGGCTGGTCTATCTCCCGCAAAACTGGCAAGATTCGCAAAATTCAGCTGATGATGTACCGCGGTCTTCATATAAGAACAAACGTATTAATAACGATTTTACTAAGACAAATTAAAATAAGCGCGTACATCTTTTATAAAAATAGTAAAAATACTCCAACGCCTACTTCCATGTCTGCTCGCCCTACTAAATCGACTACCCCGCCTAACTGGAACAGTTCGGCAATACTTTGGACGAAAGCAACACAAAAAACACATTATTTGTTAAAACGGCCACAATTTTTGAAGAACAAAATGAACGAAATTGTTTATAGAAGAATGGTTAGTGTGAAATAAAACAAAACTGATAAAAATTATTTAATTTCTACTTAATGGAGTGATTACGCCTAACGATTAGCATTTGTCGAAGTACAGCGAGAGGACTGGAAAGTATAATTCATACTAAACAACGCTGTCAAATGTACACGTTACATATACTACACGATGTTTACGATAGTGTTAATTATTTAGTGATGCGTTCTCAACAAGTAATTAGTCATTTTATCAATAGGCGACCTTTATTTGAAATACGCCGAGACACATTCGTGCCAAGTAAAAACTATATGGGTACAGTCAATAAAATTGAAATAGTGGGGAGATCCTAATTTTTGTTTGCACACCAGCAAGCAATATAAGTGATGTTCTAATTGAATTTTAGTATTGTCCGTGCACGTACTAGACGTAAATCAGTCACTAAAATATGGATCATGATGAACAACAATTTTTCATACATATATCGATTTATGGATCGTCCGATAATACTATTATAATCGTCGTTTTAACATAAAAAATCAAATAACGTTAAGAATTATTACAAAAAATCAACATTCAAATAAATCCGTTTAAAAATAATTCGAAGTTAATGAATCGATACATGCTCGTGTTTAGAACTAAACTTAAGCAAATACCAAAGCTATAAAACAAAAAGTAATCATTTTATACATACTGGATCATCAAATGCTGGATTGCCATATGATCGTTTAGACGCTCTGAGTGCTCCTTTTCTTCTCACACTGTTATATACAGAAATATTATCCATACTGTAATCGTCTAATGATACAGGGGTACATCTTTGTCCATAATTGAATCTTTTTTGTTGCTTTCGAATAAATAACTAAATATCATAAAATACAATAATATTGTTTTAACATACTTTAGTAAGGCCAGCTTTTACGGTTTATAAAAAATTAACTCACTAAAACTACAACAAGTAAAATACAAACAGCTACCACGCAGGATAAATATACAGCAGTCTTCGTACTAGGAGTTCGTTCTTCGTTGTTTTCTGCCATTCTTTTTAAGTATTCAACACCAATTACCTAAAATATATCTCGCATTTTTAAAATGATTTATTTAAATTCAATTTTATTGTTTTATTTTATTCAATTTATTTAAACTTACGTCCAACTTGTAATCCAGTCTATGTCTGTCTAATAAATTAACAAATTCTTCATTCGTAAGAGTACTATAGTCACCATCAAAATTTGTTAAATAAAATTCAATCCCGACGGGATAGTTTTCAGCATCAGGTTCCTCACAAATCTGTTCGTCAAGATTTATAAACTTAATTTGATCGATAGAACTAACACTGAAAAAACAAAAAAATATTAAAATAAATTATTTACAAGAAAATAAACAATATTTCAAAATTTACACTCACTTTTGAGATCCACTTTCGAAAAGTTTAACAATGGCACTTTTAAAATCATCGCGATTTTCACATACATCGGATATTGTCGAGTTTACCATAATTTTCAAGTATGAATGATTATTTAGAACTATAGGCTTTGATGTTGTGATAGTAGTGATAGTTGACTTATTATTACTATTATTATTATTAGGTAAAAGGCTACTTTCAGTGGAAGTGCTCGTTTCAAAAGTGGTAGTTGAAGTTGTTGTAGTACTAGTAGCACCTTCAATAGTAGATGTAGAAATAAGATTTGAAGTATTTGTAGTACTAGTAGCATCTCCAATTGTAGATGTAGAAATAAGATTTGATGTAGTTGTAGTACTAGTAGCATCTCCAATTGTAGATGTAGAAATAGGATTTGAAGAAGTAGTTGTAGATTTAGATACAATAGTAAAAAGAGGAGAATTAATAGTAGAAGTAGTTGTTGTAGATTTATATACTAAGGTAGTACTACTACTTCTAGTCGAAGGCATTGTTGTTACGGGTGGAATGGATGTAGTAATAAAAGACGTAGTAATTACATGAGTGGTAGGAATAACAGTTAATTTTTGAATAGTTAAAAGATTTTGAGAAGTAGTAGTCAATGTCATAGGAGTTGATGCCATGTAAGTACTATTTGGCGTAGTAATTGAACTAATAAAAGTAGGGACATCGTTTTCCGAATTATCTATTTCCTGTATATTGGAAGGTAAAGAACTTTGCTTAGGATTTTCAGTATATTTCTGTAAATCCTCTCCAGAATCATCGTGCCTTTCAGTAGAGTTTAAGTCGATATCGGGCAGTGAAAATGTATCAGCATTAAATGACCAAGGAGGAGTATCTTGAGATGAAGTCTGATACAATACATTAGATTGAGATGATACTTCTAAAATAAAATAAAACTGTCTTTACTTTCTTATGATATCAAATAAAAAATACCATTTATATATAATTAGTTGTTCAACAACTTTTATTTAAATAAATTTAATGTAATAAAACAATAAAAATATCTACCTAACTAAATATTAAAAAATATTTCAAACAAACTTGATTAACTTTAAATTAAAAATTACCTGAAGCCGTCTTATTAGGTACAGTTGACACATTTTCAACATTGCTTTCTGTAGAAGATAATGGATGTTCTGATGTATAATCCACCATTTCATACGAATCTTGTAACCCTTCCGTTATTTTTTCATCCAACTTGTTTTTTACGTTTTCAATATATTTCTCCGTTGTACTTGAATGATTAAACATTTCAAGGTCCAGATCATCAGTATATAAAACATCTTTTATTGAACTGCTAGGTTGTTTTTCGGTTGTACTCAATATGTTTTTTACGACATTATAATGTTCTTCCAGAGATTCAAATAGATTATTTGAAGTATTATTGTTTATTGATGTAGTTGTTAGTATTTCCGATAGTATTTCATGTTCAGTACTATTCATTAAATTTATATTTTTATTGTCAGTAGTGGATAACGTAGTAATGTTTTCAATAGTATCATAGTTTTCGGTCAGTTTATTTTCTAATTTTAAAGTTTCTGAGGATGTTTTTTCTGGAGTTTCAGAGGTATTATTATTTTCTAATATAGATTTATATGAAGTTACAAGATGCAAGCTAGATTCTTGCGACTCTGAAGGTATTGTAGATGTTGATGGACGTAAAGTTTCAATAATAGTTGTAGTATTTTCTATTTCAGGCTTCTGAGATCCATAAATCTCGTACTTATTTTTATCAGTTTCGCTACCCAACATATTAATAACAGTTTCATTTATCTCAACAATTCTCTCTTTAAATTTTTCTATAGGCTTTGGCCTTTCGGTTGATGTTAGCATAACAATTTTTTGACTATTTGGATTCGATTCTGTGCTTATTTCTGTAAGTGGAATGTTTTTAAAAACGTCATTAAATTCAGTAGAATTCGATTCACTTGGTGTCATAGCTGTAGTTGAATTATTTTCATTAACTTTTTGGAGCCTTGTAGACCACGTAATAAATGGCTTAATTTTAGCAACTTGTTCTTCGACATTTGTTATATCCGTGTTTTTTTTAATATTTTTTTTTATATTATTAGGCGCCTTTAGGGACGCTAAAGCCCAAGCCGTGACAGTAGGTGGTATAGGTTGCTGTGATGCCGTCAATTCTTTTTGCACATTAAAATTGATAGTGTTGAAACTGTTGTTTTGATTATAACTTAGTGGTTCGAGTAATTTTTTATTTGCAGAAGTAGTATCAGACTCGTTCAAATCCAATTCGGGTAATTTAGTTTTAATGGTAGAAGAAGCAATTTTTTGTTTCAAATTTAAATTTAGTCTAAGGTTAGGTTTTCTAGATGTTTCTGTTGTAGATCCAAAATTTAAATGATGCGTAGCTATTAGAGGAGGCTTTTTAAATTTAGGTCTATCTTCTAGAGTAGTTATAACAGTAGTTACATCAAGTGGATCATCATTCAATAAAGTAGAATCTACTTCATCTTTCGAATTTTGTTCTACAATTTTTAACCTTGTAGGTTTCCTAAAACGCGCTGCTGTAACAATTTCTGGAATTTCTGTTCCTGGGTCACCTTGGAACCTGGTTCTTCCTCTATTCGTTGTGACCCCTTTAAGTCCATCTAAACGTTGCTTAAGTTTTCGTTCAGAACTATTGACTAATGGTCTCATAGACAATCCTTCAAAAGATGTTGTAAAATCTTTTTCTTCTTCAACATCATCATCAGGCACATCAGTTTTAATTGAACTAGACGATGGCGGCAATGGTTTATATCTTCTAATTAATGTGTTTAAATTAGTTTTAACAGTTATAGGACTTGTTTCATCTATTTTTGTAGATGTAAATTCTTTTGGTTTTTCATTATCTTTTAATTTCTTATTTTCTTCATTTTTTTCGGTAGTAGTAAGTCTACTACTTATTTCGTCTTCAATTTGATCTTCGCGAGTGAGTGAAATTATTTTTTGAGATGTTGAGCTGGCCAAATTTTGAAATTTTGAATATTCTGGTAGAAAAGATTCCTTGTTTGTAGCATTGATGTGAGTACGATCTTGGCACAACACTAGTGATATGCACAACAAAAGGCAAACTAAAAATTAAAATTTCAATTAAAATAAGGTAAAATATGAGATATTAAATAATATATTTTACCTTGCCACACAAGAGAAATCTTCATCTATATGATGGTGCTTTATAAATTTCTAACAGACATTCTGTGATGACATCAGTCATCATTTTTTTAGATCAATAAAAAATTGACTATGAAATGTATCATCTGAAAAAAATTAATAAAATATTTTTTAGAATATAATTTATGAAAAGTTCATTATAAACGCTGTAAAAATTAAAACTCTATTAGATGTTTAAAAAATACTATTTTCTAGTAACTATAATTAAAACTACATAATTAAATAATAACTATCATTCAATTATACAAAAATGGTTTTGTAAAAAATTAACTTAAATTAATAAACATATACAAGCATGATAAATTAGGAACTACCAATAATTATGAATATCATTTGAGATATTGACCGAAAAACAATAACATAAATAATTACGACAAATAAGAAAAATATTTGCGACATAATCATTTTAAAACAAACCTACAATAAAATCAGCTATTGATAAAATTAATTATTTTAACAAGTATAAAATATAAAGTAAATTAAATATAAAAATAACCAGACTGGTTCAAACGAGGAACAGATTCAATGTCAATTTGCTGACCCTGGTTTATGTATACTGAAATACATTCATATAAAACTTATGGTATCCACTATTATCACGATATAATTATCGAACATGTTTAAAAAATTTGTCTATAATAAAAAATAAACAACTCGCTCTGGTAATTTTAACAAAAACCAAAATGTCAAATAATAATTTTTTTCATTTGATGTATATTTAATATATGTCATATATCATAATACTAAAATTACCATACAATATTTTTTTAAATTATATTTATAAAAAAAAAAATGATAATAGACATTAAATAATAAGACACCAATGTAATAGTATACGCTATCTATTTAAATGATAATTTATTTAAACTGCTTAAACCGTTTTTCATTCAATAAGCGTTAGGTATACCAAAAAATTCACACGGACATTAAGTCGGACAACACAAATAGACAACAATAGTAATTATCGTAAATTCTCATAATATATTAAGTTTAGTAATTATTATATCATATAACATGACATACGCGTGCTACGTTTAACTAAATTAAACGTAAAACTAAATTAACAACCATTTTCCGGTAAATAAATATTAACTAACTATTTATTTACTATTAAGTAATTATTTATTTCTTAGTTTTTAAAAATCAAGTATAGTAATTAAAAAATTTTTTTTATTAATTTATAATGCTTGTTTTTTTAAAAAAAATTGTACATTTTGCATGCGCTTATAATTAAAAAAATAATATTTAAACATTTCATAGGGTCAAAAATGAAGTTACCGTTATTAATAGAATGTTAAAGAAATACTTGTTCTATATCTACTTAATTATATTAATAATAAAGTATAATAACGGCATGCTACTCAATAACCAAACCGAAAAAAATATTCAAAGGTAAAATGGGTATTAGGTTAGTTTTATGTTAGTTCTTTTTATTTTTCTCTTGGGATCACAATAATAAATAGGTGCATAGAAATAAATAAAAATAACGTTAAGACACTAATCGCTACCACTAAAATATTGATACATAAATATTTCTTATTATTTAAACAAAATAGATTATTTCATCATATAATTTATGCATAACTTTAGTGTGTGTAATACATATTTTTTAAATGTCTTAATACTTATTTTAAGAGTATAACTTTTTATTTTTAGTGCATATAAATGCACATTTATAAAACTTCATAAAAAAAAATATTTATTATTAAAACAAAATTTAAATTATTTTTATAATTAATGATAAACGAAATTATTAAAAGTTATTGAATACAATAGACAAACAGTTAAAAATGAATTAAATATATTTATACAAAATACTATCAACTCAAAAAACTTAAATGTGATTATTATTATTTTTTTTTTATTATTGATTTATGCTTTGTTATTCATAGTTACACTTAGAAATGTATCAGAAATCAATAGCGCATCAAGTGTGAAGTAAATATGCATGTTTTCATAAGTATTATTTTTAAGTATCATAAGTTGTAATGTTTAATAATTTATTTAATAAAAACAATATTATATTACAAATAAATATAAATATATTAATTTTTAAAGTCATAAAAAAATACTTCTGGGTTTTTGTAACGCGGTAGTTAGAATAAAATATTAATCAACATTATTAAAAATAAATAAAATCAATATTTAGAATTTTTTTAATTAAATACTTACATCATTTTTATTTTTAATTGTCACTTATACAATATTTTATTCACTTATTTTAGATACTTATTTTTATTGTTATATTTTTATAGATTCTCTTTTGTGTATAAAACAACTACCAGTTAACTTAGTTGTTAGTCCTGTTCTCGATTGTCATGTTACTAGACTGGAACGGTTGTCTCTAGTAACAAAACTACGATTATACCATTAAATTTAGTTTAAAAAAACTATAAATGCTTTGAAGGCATACGTAATTTTTATTATTTACACTCCAATACTGTAATGACTCAGCTATTTTTTATTTAAATATTGAAAAATAACGTAAGCTAATTGAATAATATTCATAAGTCTAACATTTATAAACCACGATGTGTCCTACATATGAAATCTAATAGAATTCGTACAGAATAATTATGGCGAAATCTAAACATAAAAAATCATTCAATCTTTAGGTATGTTGCAAAGAACAAAAATAAGATAATTACTTTGAAAAAAATTAGATATCAACTCACAATACACACTTATAAATGAAAAAGCTGGCACTTGAAATGTTATTTTAAATAATTCTAAAATATATTTTGTAAAATATATCATGTATACAATGATTTATATAAATACATAGGAGAAAATCAGAAATACTTCTGAAAAAACAAACAAAAAGAAAAAAATTATAACTTTTTGTTTATAAATAACGTTTCTTATTTTAACGGATTTTTTAATTCTTATAATTCATACAGCTAATTTAAGTTGCAACATCGAAATATAAATAATTAATTTTTATAACAATTAGTTTTCCCAGTTAACATTGTCACCTTGAATAATATTAGTAATTCCCAAAACGACACGGTTATTGCACGTGATTAATAAAAATATGACCCCTAAAAAAAAAATTTACAAACCACATAATTTCTTCGTGAGGGAAGTAGCATATTTCAAAATCAAAAAAATTTTAAATATTTTGTTACGAACTAATCAAATGTCTGTAAGTATAATTTCTATTTCTATGTGATACTTACACTGTAAGTATAAGCATCAAATATAGCTGTACGTGTAATTATAAAATTTTGTAGTCACATTCAATACACGTCACAGTAAATAATATTGTTCATGGCCATAGAACGATGTTATTAAGAAACTAATTACAACGTTAACGATGTAGTTTTGCGTAGGTTTAGTTAGTAGCACCACGCATGGGTTCATTTCCAAATTATAGCGTTTCTTACTGTGAAATACAGTTGGATATTTCCTTACTTGAACAATACACAGTATAAAACCATGATGAATTTTAAAATAAAACCTATGGGCCTTGTAGCTGTTTGTTTAGTGACAATTCACTTTCGTCTTTATTTTGATGAGAAAAAACATGTCATCTGTTTCCTGAACTAGTTAACGAAATATTATGACTACACAAAAAAGTGCAATGTTCAATTCCATAATATTCCTAAATAACTTTATGTAGTTGTACACGTGAGAACGACCTTGTCTAAAATAAACGCCACCAATGATCGCATTCTCTACCAAGTCCCGACAATACTACATTTCGATTGCAGCATCATGATACAGTGGACGAATATTGCAGTGCCGCCATGGTGGGAAATAACGCCAAGGGCAACGGGTTATTTCTTTTCAAACTCGCAACACTCCGTTGTTTTTGTATATATAACGGGTTTCTGTACAGTAATAGGATTAATTGGACAACAATTGGCTAAGGGTTTCTAACGCGTTTTCGTCCTTATACGACTAGAGGATAGATAATACCTCCGAGTAGTATTGTCTATTTACAGTTTTTTTATTTCTATAGAATAACTAAAATAATTTGTTTTATACCAATATTGACGTGCAATACGAACACCAGTGGTGTAGCCAGAAATTCATAATGGCGGGCAAAGTCCAAAAAACCAACGAGAATTCATATTTTGGAACATTTTTTTGCTCGTCACATTTTAAACATGAATATTGTTGTCGATATTGGGACCATATCTCCTGTGCTCCCCTGCTACGCCACTGGTATAAATATATTTTTTATTCAAAATAATCCACAGTAGTACAGAGTAATATGCAAGGTAAACAATTCAACCGAGAATCAGATATAGTTAACAATAGTAATTGTCGTATATTAAAAAACAGAAGAATTTCCTTCCTCCACCACAACGCATCCGACTCGTCAATAGTTATGGTATTTGATTTTACATTGATGACAACGGTAGATACGTCAATTAAAACCGCACGTGATTTTCGCTTACAGCACTGGTTATTTTCTAGTGCATATTTTAACAATTGAAAAATTCTTTAATATAGAGTGACTCGCCGTAATACTATTTTAAATATCTCCTAAAATTATTTAAATATTTAGATGCAGTATTTGTATGTGGATGCAGTTCCTCTATTATTATTTTTATTTTTCTTGAACAACAATAATAATTAATAGAACTTATTAATATGTTGTTATCGAGGTAATAATATTAGGGGTTTATCCCTTCTAAAACAAAAATTAGTTTTTAGAGTGACTAAAACAAAATTTATAAATGCATATAATTCTATGCCTTACTCATTACATATATAGAAGTTAAAAATATACTTTAAGTTAATTTATACACTTAAAAAGCAATAGCATAATCTCGTGAAGATAGTATTAATGACATACTTATAAATATGTATATTTATATATTCATAAAAGTTAACTTAATAATTATATCAGTCTATCTTCAAAATGCGATAGCAGTTATAATAAAAAATAGTATTGCATTAATGTCAACCACGCCATATCAGAAAAAGATAGAACGACGTTATTCATTAAAAACACTATTTAAATATACTGACAACTTACAATAAATAAATATAGTCTATTAGTTAAAAAGTTTAGAGAAAAATATATCTGAATTATTTCAGAAGACAATCAAAATTACGGTAGGACACCTGAATA